TAAATGTATTGTTTTATTTATGGTCAGTTTGAACCGGTTCATTATGAAAATATACCACAAAAAAAAGAAAGTTTATAAATACGTTTAGAAGTTACGTAAATTTATATTAAGAAAAAAAAATTAATCTTTTTCTTCAGTGTTTCTAATTTTATTTATTTTTTTGCAAAATTTCATAAATAAAATTTAAATTTAAACATGTAATAATAGTAGTAGCTTTTTATATGCTCAATATACATTATTTTACAATAATATGTAAGTATAAAAATATGTACCTACCCAAAATTGGCAAATACTGATACAAAGTTCCAACAACAGGTAATGATTGAGGTCCAGGAATATCCCTAAATTCATTCCCTATTCGAGTAGTAGAACTATATACATTTTTAAATAAAATTCTGTTCTTGTTAATAAAAAGGCGACTACTACTTTTTCTAACTAGCATTTTTTATAGTTCAAATTTCAAAAATATTTTCGCTGTTGTACAAAAATACCTACTGCACTGATAAAATAACAATAAAATGTTCTTCGTGGTAATATAGATACATGTTGTTTAGTTCAGCAGAGTTTAAAAATTTAAATTTAATGTAGAAGGGATATGAAGGTCAGAAGGATACTCCCAACTACGAGGGATCAGCAGAATGTTTAAATGAAGAATATACCGAGGTTGTACAAAAGTCATTCACGTCTATTCAAAGAACAACCGATCGAGTTAATTTATTCCAATAAAAAATTCATTACTTTCTTTTTAAAATTTAGTAGAACAGAAGGACACCTTATGTAAAATGAAGGGCTAGGATAAAGACATATGAGGAGAAGAAACAGGAGTTAAGAGGGGCAGAGGCTTCGATGTGACTTCAGTCAGAGCATCTTCTGTATTTGAAACTATAAAGTACTTATGAAATATTAATGCAATATAAACCAAAATGCAAGGTCAATAAATATTTTATTATTGAGTTTATTTACAATTTTGTTATAATATAACAATAAGTAACAACAACGACTATGTCCAAGGTAAAAAATTAGAAAACATTACGGTACCAATTACTAAATAACTTAAAAAGAAATATTTCACGAATTGTTGTGCCTTTTTCAAATGAACGTTCTTAATCAAAATTCTTACGAACAATTCTGGATCATTTTCAGCAACATTTTTAAAATAATATGCACAAAACCAATAAGGAATAGGACTAGCGGAACATAGCATTCTTGTAGTAACTTGAATGTGTACAAATAACATGCAAAATAATGTCAAAAGAAATGCGTGAATTATGAACACAAACATCTCAGGATTAAATTCACGTAATTCTTGTTTCCTTTTGTATTTTATTAAACCTAAATAAATACAATACCGCTTGTGTTGAGAAAAAAATAACAATGAATTTTTTACAATAATAAATATGAGCGGTGAGGCTAATAAAAAATTAGGGATTTGTTTGAGTTCGTAATAATTAAGGAACCCTACATTCCAATAATGTTCTTGCACATAAGAATAAGCCAACGGTATCCTTTTTAAACACCATGTTTGATTGTACAATGAAAATTTTCCCGGTAAACAATAATTATTCTTCTCAGCAAATTCTACTAAAAACTGAGGCAAACTTATGTCGAAATCTTTGCAGAAAAGACTGTAATGATATATTTGAAGACAAACAAAAGGCCCCATACTTATAACGACTCCAATCAGACACCAAAAAATGTACCGCATAAGATAAAGTACAATCAGAAAATGCTTTTTAAAGTTATTAAAAAATAATCTACTACTAGCAAAAAGGAAGAAGTACAAAACAAAACCCACATTAAGAATGCCGTTGGACCTTGTTAAGGTACTTAGTCCTATAGGAAATAAATACAAAACATGTTTTAATTTAATTCTTATGTCGTTATTTCTGTCAAGTTGCTGTTTTAATTTTGCATATTTTAGCATAGCAAAAAATGAAAAAAAACTGAAAAGACATTCAGTGTAGGGAGCTACAAAAAATACTGTAGCAGGATTAATGCAAAATAATACTGCTGATTTGTATGCTAAGTCTGCATCTAGAATGAGAGAAGTCAATCTAAATAAAAGCAGTGCGGCTGCTATGAAAAAGACACAATTTACAAACAAACATGACAAAATACAAGCTGAATCCTGATTTAAATAAGGAAACATATTAAATATTGGCAGTACAAAATACTTAACTATAAACGGAAACGCTGGAAAAAATGGTAACGTATTTTCGTATGAGTACCCATATTTAATTATGTGTATAAAATATTGAGCATCCCATCTTATAAATCCACCAAAAATAAATTGAATTAAAGAGTCCAAAAAAGTAAATGGGAGCTTTTCTTTTGGATACAAAAAAACGTCAGCATTATGATCTGGTATAAAGATATTTCCGAAAAATTGTATGCTTATAACTAATAAACGGGTGTATAAAGCCACTNTTTCTTTCTTGAGTCAACGAAATGTATTTCATTATTTGAAAAACATTTTAGATAAAAATTGTATACTTGCGAAGCCATTTTTATTAATAGGAATACATATTTTTGACTGGAGCAGTAGAAAGAAAGGGAAATTTTGAAATAGGAGATATCCTTGAGGTAGCAAATATGGGAAATTAAGAAAAAATCAGTGTGTCAAAAGTATTTCCAATTACTTATTAAATTTCCCAAGTTTTCCACTGATGAGGTAAAAAATATGCATTCCCATATGACCTGCGGACACCAGTTGATTTCCCCTTTGAAAACATTCAACTTCTGTCTAAAACGTTTTCCAAAATAATGACTCACCCTCTTATAAAAGTACTCACTGTGTCAATTCCAGCCAATAAAAAATCACATATCATTCCGGTAATGTCTTTAAAATCAACTTCCGGCGAAGATAAATAACCTTCCAAAAGTGTTTTCGGTTTTTTGTCTTTTGTTTCTTTAAACAATCTTATTTTCTGCGACAGTAGGTCTATTGCTACCCTAAAATATAAGTACTTCTTTTACTTCCTTTTTAGGGCAAGAATACACACTTTTTAGGGTTCTGTACGTCCGAATGAAAAACGGAACCCTTATAGGATCACCCGTGAGTCCGTCTGGCACAGTCAATTTTCCCCGAATCTACTGGACCCATTAAATTGAAATTTAGAACACTTATGAATTTTTGTGACCCAAACACGGACGCATAACGTAAATAAATTAATTTGGAGCATGGGGGTCATTTTTGGTGAGCTAATGAGAAATTTAAAAAAAAAAATGTTTTGCAAACTGTACCGTGTGACATATCAAATAAAAAGGCTTGTTGTAAGAGTCTCAAATATATGTTTTCTTATAATTTTAAAAAAGTTTGAAAGTTGTTTAAGAAAATAGATGAAAATTGACCATTGTCGCCCCCCTCATCTCCGAAACTGCTAAGCCTAAAATTTGAAAAAAAACATGCAGAAAATAGTTTTTTACTTATAGATTACATACAAAAACTCCTTTTACTTTGTCCAAATCGAGAGTTTTTGGGATTCTCAATGAACAAGATTACTAAATTACTTAGGGAGCATACATTAATTACGTGAGGGACTTTTCTATTAATTTGGGCCTCCCTCCTCCTCACGTGAGGTTTTCCAGGGCAAAATGGAACACTTCAAAAAAATTAAATTTAATGAATCGTATCGTATTATCTTTGAATTAAAAAATTGACGCGAGATTTTCAATGATCTCCTTCCTTTTTAAATGAGATTTGATGAGATTTTGCTTGATCCCCGCATTTTGAGTTCACGTAATTAATGGATGACGCAAGAAAATTTCACTTTCTGTACGAGGGGTGCACACCAGGCGTCGAAATAAGCACGTGTGCAAGAGTTGAATTATAATCTTAGCCTACGTGAAACAAAAAATCTAACTATTACATTTGCTATGTCTCTAATTAAGATTAACATACAGTCTTTTTCTAAAGAAACTGTTTATGTTATTACACCAATTTTTCATCACCCAGCTTGTTGTTTTAGATGTGCGAATTTTACGTCAAATTTGAATCCAATTTGATATTAACTCTAACTGCCCAAACCCTGCTATTAATTGTTCTTTTCCTGCTCCAGCTTCAGCGATTTTAAAGTTAATTTCGTTCGTACTAAACATACAGATAGACAGAAAGGTAATATTTTTATTGATTTAAATATTGAAAAGATAATATATAAATGACACATGACTACTAATAGGTAAAAGATGATCCTTTAAAACCACCTTAAAAGTTAAATTCTCTTTTCGTTGAAAAGTTACTTAACGTTTTTCTTGAACTTCAATGTATTCGATTTTGATCTTCTTGTATGAAAATAAAACGATCATGTGAATTCGATAATAAGAGAGGACTCACCGTTCCATATATTCTTGGGCTTTGGTAAACTTCCTGTAAAGGGGTGTATTAAACCTTCTCCACAATTGAGGGCCATTGTCAGTTTTTAAAATGCAACTGTTGGAAGCCAAGGCGGCTTCCATTAGTTTTGTAGATTTCGAATTTGCTTTCAATTCTTCCTTTGAAAAGCTATTTAATCTTATATCTAAAGCTGTCATACAAGTTACTAAAATACAAATATTAATTGATATTGTAAAAGTGAACACTGTACAATTCCGCATGTTTTTGATTATGTAATTTCTGATCTGTTTTTTTTTTAAGATTAAAGTTAAACAAAAATCATAAAAGATGGTCAATTTATTTTTATAAATCAGTGATACGTAAAATTGAAATTCGATGGCAACAGTTTTTATTATTTGGTAAAATATTTAAGAAATTTCACTCCAATAGTAAAGAGGTACTCACTAACATTCTAAAAATAATCTGGAGATCTCAGAAAGATAATCAATATTATGGATAAACCTTATTTCATTGATCCGTTCGATCCAATCATCGATAATTTCACTGGTTGGTGAAATAAAATTTAGGACCGAAGATGGACTG